GGACAGGAAAAGATTTAATTCGTCCGATCTGGATCTGTCGAATCAAATCTCTACGTATCTGAACTGTACGGATAATCTGCCCGTGTATGGGGCGCTAATGAGTTGTAATTCATTGGTCAATGAGTTATTAGGCAGTATTGAATGAGTCCATGCAGCATTGCCAGGTCGCCGCAATGGCCACCCGATATATTTTAGGTGATTGGTAGCCTTAGCAAGATACATATCGTTTTGAAATCGAAACTGGTTATTTCTATAAGGAATCTTATAAGCGATACGCGGAAACGCAGCACTTTATGTAAATGTTACCATAGATTTGCACTGTAACGATACAACAATAAAGGGATTGAATAAAAACGAATGGAGTCCAATCAAACAATATAATGCACCATGTTACAAACGAAAAAAATAAGACATCAGAGAATCTGGACGTTGTTCTTGTCCAGCAGCACGCGCACCGGCGTCTCCAGGCAATCGGCGCCACTTTGCGACACCACAATGGGCACTCGGATAGTGAAGGCGCGCGGTAGGCAAACATCTTCACTGCAGGTGATTAAGCTGAAGCTCACATGCAAACTGTGCACATGGTCCGGGTCCAAGTGGGCAGGCACACTGACCACCACGTCCACCGATTGGGCGGCAGTGCCATTGGTGGGCACGCAGGCGAAAGTGGGCGCTGGAAGCTCAGTCGTCCACCTCTGGGGCGCGTCCACCGCCAGCTTCAGACCATCGGCAAAGGAGATGGAAAAGTTTGCGAGAATCTTGCCGCCCTTCTCGCTCACAATCAACGGTTTGGGCAGCGATAGAAGCGGTTTCCTGGATGGGCTGTCGCTGGTGGTTGGATTAGTGGGCACATGGGCAGCCCTGCAGGTTAAATTTACTGGCTCAGCTTCAACACAGTCCAAGTTTTTTTTTGCGTTAGATCATACGTCCGATAATTACATTGTCTACATATGGAAACCCATACCTTAATTCCAGTTTCTGCACTTTACTGATTGTCCCATTCCTGCCCAAAGTCACCACTTTCACTTGGTGGTTGTTGGTGTCGGCCAGGTAAATTTTCTTGCCGTCCGCACTCACGCATAGTCCGCCTGGTTCCTTAAAGGCCCAGTCGGCAAAGTCGGTGCTGTCCAGGTTGTTGTTGACCATCAGCGTAACCACTTTATTTTCCGTGACGTCCACCCGTTTCAGCTTGTGGTTGTAGGTATCAGCTACAAACAGCGTCTTTCCGTCCGGGCTGCCAGCCACCCCCAATGAATGCTGTAGTTTGGCCTCGTACAAGACACCGTCCCGATCGCCGAAGGCAAACAGATTCTGAAAAAATCGCCTCTAAGTTAAACTTTAGTCGCTTTTCATGTGCGACTAGAACGCACATTCGGATTGCGATCGCCGCCTACTACAGGAGTGACTTTTCCATCAGCCAACGATAGACGCCGAATGCTCGAGCTTTCGCTGTCTGCGACATAAACTTCCTTCGCAACTTCAAACAGAGCCAACCCTGAGGGCTGTGCAAAAGCTGCAGCATGCGGGTAGCTGTTGTTGCGGTTCTCTTCTCGTCCGGACCCCGCGATGTTGATGCAAGTTCCTGCAATCAACCAATCTATGGGGATGCGATTTCCGATGACTTGAAAATTTCCCTTACCGCTCGTGTATTTTTTGCATTTCCACCAGACGGTGTCGTCCAAAAACAAAGCCCAGACCTGGTGGGTCCCGGCCATGGCTATAAGAAGCACCTCCTTGATAGGCGGCTTGCCGTCCGGATGGAACGTGAGGTCCATATCTCGCGTCCGATACACGCAAACGTCCCACGGACTGGAAATTTCCTGTTCCGAGCCAGACTTGCCCCCCAATCGGTCGTGGCCCTGCTGCCCAGTGCCTATAGATCGGAAATAGTTTTCGGCTCAATGAAGCAGGCGAATCTTACCCAGAGCGCGCCCTACCTGCCACCGTCACCACACTCCCTTT